TTGACTTTAAGTTTGAAATGTAAAATGTTAACGGACGACGGACGACGGACGACGACGGACGAAAACGGATAGCAATAGGTCACTTGAGCTAAAGCTCAGGTGACCTAAAAAACTACATCTGAACATAATACAAATAAACCCTCTTCCGAACAAACATTTGCTATATATAAATCTGCTCTATAATAAGATTATTTAAGCATAAACATTAATGATTTTTTACGTTATTGAGCCATAACATAAAAAAAGGACATAAGCAAAGTTCGCGGGCTTTCATTCATTGCGTGGGAATGAGAAAAATTGACATTGAGATGACTCACACTACCGAGTGAAACTGAAACTACAGTTGTTGAATGTTGAATGACTCAGCAATCCAGACGACAGTACACTGCTTGAAACGGTAGATTGCGACATCTGGTTATTTGGACGCGACAGCACAACTGTTGGCGGCACAAACTTCTGTGGTAGCAACAGTACCCGTCGGACCAGGCTTAGGCTAATGGTGTGTTTCCCTTCAACACCACCTCGGGATTTGGAGGATTAGTGTGGATAACCGATGCAAGTGTGTTGCTCATGTTCCGTTTTTGTTCTGTGGAGCATTCACGGTTATAGCTCCTGAAAGAACCTTCATTTTTATGACCCGTCATATACATTATGTGGCGAAGCTCGAACCCGGCATCATTCAGTTTCTGGATGCTCATGGCGCGGAGACAGTGGGCAGTGTAAGGTCGCAAACAGTGGGCATTTTTCGCAATGTCTGCAATGAAACATGTGAATTGATATTGTTTTAAGGATCTATTAGTGTACCGTGTTTCACAAGATTCTAGATTCTTAATGGCATCTTTGTCGCAGTGATTAAAAAGCGACTGTGCACTGGAATATGTTTTCTTGATCATTTCTCTAAGGGATTAAACCGGACAACGTGCATCGTCGATGGCATACATGCGTTTGTCAGCTGGAGCTTCGACACTTTCCAAGCCACCTTGTCGTTTTTTTTGTTTAGTTTCATGGTTTAAAATGACATACTCTTTGTCATTTTTCGTCACGTTTGTATTCAAAGGAGTTTGGTGACAGCTGTTCGTGAAATTTTAAACCCCTCGACATGAAATGCACTGACAAATTGTCCGGAACGCAGAGTCTGAGGATAATAGGATTTTCTTCAAAATTAAGGTAAGTTCCTATTTTGTCCAAATCTTGATCATTTATTATTGCCTTGTGACTTGTTGGTCGGGAAGCCCCCTCCTTCATGTTCAGCTTCAATCTGCCATCCAACATGTTATTTGCCGATTTGAACTGCCTGTCGCGTACAATATCTATATCTCTACCTAAATCATGAAGATGTCTATTTATGACCGCTCTCATGCTTTTCAGTGATTTTTTTTGATATTCGGCAGCTTGTTTTACGGACATTTCCTTTGATCGCTGCTCGACATTTTTGGGGACCACCTCGGCATAGAACACTCTTAATTTTTCATTCAGATTTGTAGGAGAGGTATTGGCCAAATCAGTTATATTCAGACCATCTCGTTCCATGCACCATTCTGAAATGTAAAAATTACTCTTTATACATGATACAGTAGGGATTAAGGGTAGATACTATAGGACGGACAGATATTCGTCAACACAGATAACTTAAGATAGAGTACTC